CATTTAGCATACTAATAGCTTGCACCTTTTCTCAATTACACGTCAGTCAGATAAATGACTATTTAACAATAGGAGACATTTCCTGCCATGCAAACATTATCTGTATTCAATTTTAGGATATACTTTAAGAATAAAAATATTGGTTGTACAATTTGTAAATGTATAAAACAAAATTTGCTTGATCATAAAGGTTCCCATGTGTCAGCAGAATGGATTAATGGTGAGGTGTATCCATCTGGTTCTAGCTTAGAAAAGAAAAAAACTAACTTACGAAAAAAGATTGCTAAACATAAAAGTTCTATTGCTCATTTAAATGCCCGAAAAATCGTTACTGAGTCAGAAAAGAATGTTATGGATGAACATATTTTTAAAGTTAAGGCAGCTGAACATGAATCTACAGCTAGAATATTCCGTACACCTTATTCAATTGCTAAATATCAACGCCCCTATACAGACTTGCCAAAAATGACTGATCTTCAAATATTAAATGGGCCTGAAATGGGAAGAGTACTTCAAAGCAATGTATCATGCTCAAATATTATTGATCACATAGCATTGGAAATGAGAAAAAAATTGCTTTAGATATTATTGAAAATAATAGAAAAATTACTATTTTAGTTGATGAGTCTACTACATTAAGCAAAAAGTCTATGCTAGTGATATGTTTGCTTTGTGCTGTTGGTGAACCTGATGATATATATACATTTTTATTTGATATAGTGGAAATACCTAATGCTTCAGCTATTACTATAAAAGAATACATATTAAAGTCATTATTCAAATTTGGTATAAATTATGAGTTATTGAAGAAAAATCTTATTTCCTTTGTTAGTGATGGTGCTTTTAACATGTTGGGACGTAAAGCAGGCGTTGGTGTGTTATTACAAAAAATGTTTCCTAATATTATACTGTGGCACTGCTGTAATCATCGCCTGGAACTAGGGAGTAAATGAAGTTAATCATTTTCAATCATTTATAGAAAATGTATATTCATTATATCACATGTCACCAAAAAATACAACTGAATTAAAAGAGTGTGCTTATTCTCTAGATAAACAATTACTAAGAATTGGTAAAATATTTACAATTCGTTGGGTTGCGTCTAGTAATCAAACTATAAAGGCAGTTTGGAATAATTATGAATCACTTTATCTACATTTTCTAATGCAATGATAGATGACCAAAGATCTTCAAAAGAAAAATCAAAATATATTGGTTTAAGAAATACATTAAAATCTATTGAGTTTGTTCATAATCTAGGTATTCTTTATGATGGTCTTACAGAATTATGAGACTTATCTATTGAACTTCAAAAGAGATATCAATCATTTGTAAATGCTCATAAATCTATTGAGCGAACAATTAGAGTTTTAAATTCTATGGCTAATACAAATGGACCAAGAAATTAAGAAGTAAGTAATGCATGTAAAATACAAATGTTTAAAGGTATTATACTTGAACATAAAAATTCTGTGATTAAAATTAATGCAGGTCAATTTTTTACAAGTTTAGCTAATAATTTAAAACAAAGACTGTTTACAACACAATCAACTAAAGTGTCATCTGTAGAGAGTAATGATCCATCAAGAGAAATATTTAATAATTTGTTAGCGGATTTAGATATGATTTCTCCAAATAATTGGCCTGATAGTTGTGACATTCAGTATGGTGATACAAGCATACAACGTTTATCAAAATTTTTTAAAGTAGATGAACAAGCTAGTGTACGAACCTTTTGTGAATATAAAGATTTTCCTTCTCCATTAAATGATAACATTAAACCACTTATGAATGCAGTCAAAACTTTGGCCATTTCTTTGGCAGAATGTGAAAGATCATTCAGTTCGATGAATGAAATTGTTTCCTCCAAAAGAAGTTTACTGACAAGTGACCACATATCGTCATTAGCTTTTATAAATTGCACAGGTCCACCAGTCATTTTAAACCATTGCCATACATAAAAACTTGGCTAGTATCTGGGAAAAGAAGTGGTATCGAAGAAAATTGCCCTAAAAGATTAAAAGTTAATGATAAAACATATAAATCCATTTGGTCATTCTTGGAAAAATGAAAATGAAATTAAAAAAAAGTAATCATCAGTTCTAAATTTATTTTATTCTTATATTCTTTATTTTATTTTTTCTATAATGTTATACTTGTATTGTTATAAATTATGAATACCACAGTATAGTACTAATAGATATAAATGTATATTTTAATGAAAATCATTAACAAGGCAATAATACTACAGTATATATTACCAAGGATCAATTTAAATGTTTATTTAAAAGTTGAGACTGAATTTGATGTTAAAACTGATTTTTTTTTTTTTTGTTATTCATATAATTTTATTATTTTCATAATATTGTTAAGTATATTTTAAAATTACACATTATATCATAGAATATTTTATCTTCATAAATCAAGAATTAAATGTTAAGGTGTATTTAATAAGATTAAATTTGATTTTTTTTTTCTAAAAGTAATGTTATACTTATATATTTCTAAATTTTTATTTAAAAGTTGAGACTATTGTTGTTTTGTACATAATATTCAAAAATTAAATAAAAAAGTTTAAAAAATGGTATTTAATTATAAATTAGTTGGAAAATCTATATTATAAAAAAAAAACTATTTCGATTTTCCCTTATTCTCCAGGCATTCTCTCCTTTGCCGGAATATAGGTAATTAATATTTTAGAGTTATAATCACTGAGTATGTACATAATACATAATAATATGTGTATACAAATATACATACTATATATGTACGTGATTAATTTTAAAAATTAGGTCAACAATAACATAGATTAAAATTATAATATTAAAAAATCAGGGGGGGGGAGATGCGCCTTACCCTTGGCTACAAAATTGGTTAAGGGGACGCCTTTTTTTTGCATTAGTATTAGTCCCACCTGCAATTATTTTCCACTTTAACCACTGCTCATTCTCATTATAAGGTAATGTGTATAAATATCGGATAACACAGTTTGTTTGTGTTCTTCACAAACAAATCTAAAAGAGATTTTATTTTTTAAAAAATCTTCAAATGCCTCTTCAAAAACATTTTGAGAGTCTTTAAATTTAGTGAAGGACAATTCTAATGATTGCTGTTAGGATGAGAAAGATATCCTCTACTTTTAGCCATTACTAAATCTGCATTAGGACCATAAGCTGTCGTATTCAGATTTTTGAAACTAGATGCACATACTTGGCATTCAGTCTTTGCAATTAATCGCTTGGCCATATATCTAAAAAATTAAACTAAATGTTAGTACTATGTTAATAAATAATTATTTATTTAAAGTTTGTGTTTTACTTTTATAAAAACATACCCTGCTAAATAATAATAATATACTACACAGTCGAAAAACAGTAGAATCAGAATAGTCATGTTCTTGAAAAATTCAACAAGTAAATTTGAGACAGCAGTTTTTTGAAATCTAAAGCTTTTTGGATCTAATACAATAAAAGAAAAAATTAGGTAACTTAAACCAATTTAATTACAGCACTATATGTGTAAATTAAAGTTCATACACATCAATGTGATAAAAATGTACATTCAAATATAGTAAGATTTAGATTTAATAGAAATTAAAATAGGCACCTTCATTATTTTTGGTGATGGTAACATAAATAAATCATAATTTAACTGCAGTGATTTATCAGATACACTATAGCTGTGTTCATTATTAATATTATTGCTGAATATACCAGTAGACTAAAGTTAAATAAGAAGGTATATGCAAAAATTAAGTGATTATACAATTATTTTATTGGCATGATTATTAGTTGCTTTTATAATTAGTACATACTTCAGATGAGTTAGAAGTTGAGGTATTACTTTTTTGTGACATGTCGGTTGGATTTAAATCATCTTGTACTTGTACCTGTATAACAGTCAGCATCAAAGATGAGTTCTGTAAGAAATTGGTATATTACTATTTTATTTTAATATTATAATGTAATATTCCACGTTATTTTTTAAATGATAATTTTAGTGTTATGGATAATTACATTAGATGCTGCAAACAACAAATCCAAACTAATAGAAATCGTATCTTTCACAAGTCTGGGCTTTTTCAAACATATCTGAACAATATGAATTTGTATAAATAAATAATATATTAATAAATAATATTATTTTACTTACTGTATACTTGCTAAATCCTGCACCAGATTCCCAAGTATCAACTACATCCTGCTTCTTGAAGTGGTAACGGCATACTTTAGAATTAGTTTTAACTAACATCTAAAACTTTTTCCCACTCATCCCTTAAAGGAGAAGTTGTAGGAACACCAAATAAACTAATTTTTAAATCCTTATAAGGGCATAAAGGTACACAATATGCCATTTTTATTATTATAATAAATAACCAAAACTATAGCAATATTATGTTGATTATTAAATTAGATTAACATAGTAAAATATAAAATGATAATTAATATGTTTAAACTGTTTAAAGGATTATTATATATTTATATATTATATATCAGTTCTGCCATGTTAGAGTATAATTCAAGTATACAATTTTAGGCGGGTAGTAATCTTAATATTCTCCACTAAAAGCGCTATAGTATTAAAAACAGCTGATTCATATTGAATGTCCTTGGATAAGCCATTTTACCGTAGTCGATAGGCAACCATACTATCTTAAATCGTGGTTTATACCATGAACATTAGAGGAAGGACGCCGAACACAGCAGAACGAAGCGTAAAAACATGGTCCGGAATTATCGCATTCCGCCAGAATGCGCGTCGGACCGTAATGATGTCGTTTTTACATGTATAGCATAGGACATTTAATGGTTTTTTATTATTATAATCTAAATGGTGAAATTTATGAATAATTACTATAGAACATTTTTTAAAACCAAATTGCCCTCGATCGAATATAAGTGTTTCCAATAATATACGACTTTTATAAAAAGAGATATAGTTGTTTTAAAAAATACATTCAAACTTTTTATACACAATAATATAGATATAGGTAATATAATATCGATTTATTTTCATGCGTTTTATTACTTTGGTATCATCGATACCATCACAGAACAATATTATATATTGATACTATATTGCCTATTGATATATTATGTATAAAAAATTTGAATGTTTTTTTTAAAACAACTATATCTCTTTTTATAAAAGTCGTATATTATTGGAAACACATATATTCGATCGAGGGCAATTTGGTTTTAAAAAAATGTTCTATAGTAATTATTCATAAGTTACACCATTTAGAATATAATATTAAAAAACCAATAAATTCCCTATGCTGTACATGTAAAAACGACATCATTACGGTCCGACGCGCATTCTGGCGGAATGCGATAATTCCGGACCACTTTTATATACACAGTTCGGCGTCCTTCCTCTAATGTTCATGGTTTATACTTATAAATAATTTTATCACATTGATAATATTTTTTTATAATCAACGGTACTAAATTATCAACTTTACAAATTGTATTGTCAATAAAATAACAGTTTATTTTTCAAAATATTATAATTAATAATACACCATGTTCATATCAATAAAATAATATTATTATCCCCAACATTTACCTTGTAGAATAAAC